TATAAAGATGCGCATTATAGTGGCTCATGAGAGAATACAGTTTGAGAAAATTGTCAACATAAATTTGTCTGATAAGGTCAAAGTAATGCTGCTGACAGTAGAATAAGGAAGAGAAAATATTTTACTGCTTCCAGGCATCTTCATGTTAAGTCAAGTAAAGAATAAAAAGAACAACTCAAGATATATAAGGAAAAAATTTCACTCAAAGGAAAAACATAGAAAACATTTTTGTATTGTTAGTACCCTTGTAAAGCTCTGCATAAATGAAGTGCTAAAGCACACATAGGTTGTTCTTCATATGAGCTGAGACTGAATTAGGCAGTAGATTTAGTTACATTTGGGTGAGGTAAATGCATCCTTTGCAACCCAAAAATCATGATCGGAGTAAGGGTTTGAGTCCTTACAGTCAATCCGATGATTTAAATTCACTTTAATATTTACATTCAATTTTATTCACCGTGGACAAATCTTAATACTGTGAACACAAATTGAAGGTGTGGCTTTTTTTCTTTAGTATCTCCAATAAGAACAGAATTTGGAAACTGCCCTTGTGCTTTTAGATGTTGTGTAAACAGAGATCAAGTCTAATCTTTGCTTGCCTCTTGTGACTTGTGTATGAACAGTTTTTAAAAACTGTATAAAGATCTAAATATAGACATATGAATCTGTAAAAGAATTTACATGGCAGTTATGAATATTCAAAAGCTTGTTCCTAATTTCTGGACTGCTTGTTCTGTTTATATGTATTATACTGTACATGCTTCATAGTTTAAATGTTTTTCTCCTAGAAATGTAAGTTGACATTTTTAGGCGCATTCTGCAGAGCAATAATTGTATTCTCATTGACATTAATAGAAGTGGTTAGCTCAGGATGGAGCTCGGATGCGGCTGCTTGTATGTTTGAGCAGGACCAAGATTTAATTTCTTAGATCTTTACTAAGAATGTTATGTCAGATTAACCTCAGTCTATTCACCTAAAAGTACCCTGTGTACAGAGTCTTTTTGTTTTTCTTTAAGCAAATTATCCGTCATGCTAGGTTGCAGAAAGATGGGAGAAGAATAATTGTGTCTTGCAGTCAGGTTTCTTGCTTCTGTGTACCTGTGGCTCTAGGACCCTCCAACGTGCCTTTCCTCAAGACAGTTTATGAAATTATTTTGGGGGAGAGTGGGTGTTTATGGACAGTGTCCCGGTGGTTAGGGAGAGCCAGGTGCTGGGGAGACTCTGGGAGCGGAGCAAATAGAAGGATAGCAGGGTGCACGAAAATCCAGAAAAATGGAAGGGGGCAATTAAAGGATTAGGCAGCCCAGATGTTAGCAGAGGGGGAAAAGTTCCCTGAAAGCAAATTCACCCAGAAGAATAGGAAAAAAGCAAGGGATAGAAATAAGACTTTCCTCTTGTTTCTGTGATGGTGTTTTGATCGATGATGCTTCAGAATTTAATATGACACAAGAAAACAGAAAATGACAAAGCTACTTGTATTTTGTGGAAAATCTGTGTGTTCAGTGTTGGTGGATGGTTTGTTGTTTGGGTTTTTTTTTAAGATTAAGATTTGTTAATAAAATCTGTGCAGAAATGAAGTTTCATTAGCATTTTAATTGCAGTATTCAATTTTGTTCAAGTAATTGTGAACTAAGGACAATTTTGTTGCTGGTAAGAAATGTTTTTCATCTTCTAATAGTATTTCCGATGTCTAATTTACTTAAGCGTACCATTTAACACCTGCTTCTTTGACACGTTAGGGATTACCATCCAGATGCCTCTAAACAAAACCTATCCTCTTCTGCTAGGAGGACGTAGTAGTTGGGGGAACTCCAAAGGCTTTGTGCTTACTCTACAATGTGCTTCAGTGAACTTCTGTCAAATGCTTTTAAGGATGCATCTGTAGCTACCAGCAGCTGGTTTAAATTTAGTTTGCAAATCATACAGACCTGGTTGTTTTGGTTTTTTAAAAAAAAAAATTGAGGGAAATCATATGAAAATATTGCCTACATCCCCGTTGGCAGTAATGATAAAAGTGAATGGGTAGAAATATGAAGTTTCACCCAGGGATGAGCTGTATTGTGAAGGTATCCCTGTCCTATTTCTGATGGTTTCCATGCTGTTTCTCTTTGTTTCTGGCATTGCTCCTACCGTTGGAAAGGGTAGCATCAGGAACTACTTGAAAATAATCAAGTATGACTTCCTTTTCTTTTTACCATAGTGCTTTCACTTTAAAATGAGAAATGTCTTCAGATCTTTATTAGGTTTCTCATTTTCCTTCGGCTAGAGATCCTTGCCCAATAATACTTCCAGGTTGCTAATCTGAGCAAGATTTTCCTCCCCCTCAAACACTGAGGAATTTCTGTATCCCTTCTGTGTCTATCTGAATAGGTGCTTAGATTACATGTGTCAAAGGTGCTGTATTCTACTTGTTCCATTTTTGTTATAATTTCATTTGTAGTGAATTAACAATTTTTCTTTTTGTAATTTTAGTCCAAGAGCTCAGTTTTCTTTTTTAAAATTGCTTGTGGTATCTGGTCGTACATTAATTTTTTTCCCCTGATTGGATGTCCCACATAACCTCAGATGATACAAGAAAGCAGAAAATTTTTTTGCTTACAAAAGTGGAGTGCAATGTGAAGAAATACTACCTTCAAAGGGCACTGAATCTGTACAAAAGCCTTTTTTTTTAAGGGTGCTTGTAGTGGCATACAGCTTTAACGTTACAGAAAATTATTTAGAATTCTGTAGAAAACTAATTGCAAGAATAGTCTTCTGTTAACAGCATAAGATGTTCTCTTTTTACTTCTATAATTATTTGATATAAATGAGGGATTTTGTCCTTCCTCTTCCCCTAGTATGTGTAGCCACTGTGATGATTGGTCTTTGTTCCTGAGAAATAAGCTTATCGTGCTGCTCTTTGGCATATTTTTCAGCAAATGCAGTCTTTCCTGAGGCATGAGTTGTAGGCTGTGAGGATACTTTTCTTCAAGTTTCTCCCACCGTAGAGATTGCTTTTCTTATTCTTACAGTACATTAGATATTTTTCACTTCCAAAATCCATTCGTATTTCATTTTTCATTATTTTTGTCTGTATTTTTTCCTGGTTTGTATATACTTTATGTATATTTCAGGGTGTTTTTCATATGATATGTGAAAATACCTCTACTTATTTCCTGCACCTAACTGGGTAATCTGGCATATTGATTATTGTTTTGGGTGCTTTCAGTCCCTCTGACAGGGACTTATGTACAGGCAAGCTGAAGTTAATTTTATAAGTAAGATTTATGAAATAGCCTATCTGTTGGATTACTGTAATTGATTGTTACGAGAATGGACAGATTTTTCTTTTACAGGGGGTAATTAAATTCAATTCCTGTGCCTGGCATTGAGTGTTAAGTACAATTTGTAAGGTATGTTTGAGATGAGTTGACCGCAGCCTGTTGTGTATTGCTGCACAGTGACACAGAGGGGTCTGGACAGGCTGGATGGGTGGGCCCAGGCCAGTGGTCTGAAGTTCAACCAGGCCAAGTGCCGGGTCCTGCACTTGGGTCACACCAACCCCCTGCAGTGCTCCAGGCCTGGGGCAGAGTGGCTGGAGCTGCCTGGTGGAAAAGGACCTGGGGGTATTGATCAGCAGCCGGCTGAGTAGGAGCCAGCAGAGTGCCCAGGTGGCCAAGAAGGCCAACAGCATCCTGGCCTGTATCAGGAGTGGTGTGCCCAGTAGGCCTAAGGCAGTGATGGTCCCCCTGTACCTGGCACTGGTGAGGCCCCACCTCGAATACTGTGTCTGGTTTTGGGCTGCTCACTACAGGAAAGACATTGAGGGGCTGGAGTGGGTCCAGAGAAGGGCAGTGGAGCTGGTGAGGGGTCTGGAGCACAAGTCTTGTGAGGAGCGGCTGAGGGAGCTGGGGGTGTTCAGCCTGGAGAAGAGGAGGCTGAGGGGAGACCTTCTCGCTCTCTACAACTCCCTGAAAGGGGTTGGTCTCTTCTCCCAAGTCACAGGCAATAGGAGGAAGTGGCCTGAAGTTGCACCAGGGGAGGTTCAGATTGGAGATTGGAAACAATTTTTACATTGAAGCGGTTATTAAGCACTGGAACAGACTGCCTATGGAAGTGGTGGAATCACCATCCCTGGAGGTACTTAGAAGATGGGTAGAGGTGAGGGACATGGTTTAGTCATGGGTTTTGTCAGTATTAGGTTGATGGTTGGAGTTGATGATCTGAAAGATCCCTTCCAACCTAGAAAATTTTATGTTTCGAATTTTTCCTTTCAGTCTTAAATATCAGTGTCTTTTCCAGCCAACACTGTAACAGTCGTATTTAAAGCTTTCTTTTTGAAACTTACAATTCTACAGTGAAATAGTGGTCTCAAGAAATTAAACCTTGAGAATAGTGTAGGATCTGGACTTCAGTATTCAAGTAGCATTTTGTATATCTAAGAGCACCATTTCTTACTCAGTTTAATCCTCTAACAGTCCCTAGGCCAGGGATTGAAGCATGTGGGAGGATCCCGAGGGATAATCCAGGACTCTAGTGACTTGCATAAAGTGACATGTAGCGGGTTTATGTGCTGAGAGGTAGTTATTGTTAGGTGTGCTACAAAATATATACAAAACTGATTACTTTCACTGGCTTCTCTGGAATGCCTTTGGAGTAAGTTACTTCGTTTGTACTGCCTGCTGATGAAAGCCCCAGCGCTGGATTATCTAGTAGTCAAAGCCCGCTACCACTAGGCAGAAGTAGGGCTTCATTCATTTAAAATATCTTCCCAGAGAGGAAATTAATGGGCTCTAACTTCTCAGATTTCAGGACTGTTCAGGTTGCCTTTTAAAGGGCAGAGGGGAGAAAACAAGTTGCTACTTAGAGTCCGCACCACTACTCTCGTCTTTCTTCATTCACAGGAAACTTCATTGTACAGAAAATCATAATTTGAATGCAGATTAAATACTCCATGTACGTTCCTATCTCTGTGTAGCAGATAGATGTGCAAACAATTTTTATTCACTCTACACTGCAGGGTTCATAGACGCCAAATCCTCTCAATTGTTGGCAAGAAACAGAGGGCTGAGACTCCTGCCTCGATGTCATTGGAGGAAGACGCATGCTGTTTTGCCCTTGACTTGAAAATTCTGCAAACTTCAGGTGAAGTTTTGAGACTCTAAATACAAAATACAAGCAGAAAATTAACTGGTTGCGTTTTTTGTTTTGTTTTGTTTTAAAAACCAAGACCAGGGAGATCCGTTAGTGTTTCCTATAGCAGACTATGGGAGTAACTTGTAGATATTGTTAAGAGACTAGTAATAGCTCAAGGTCTTTTAGGTAATAGAAGATTGAATGATACTCTTTTCATTTTCGATTACAGTAATTTATGTAGTGTCAGGCCTGACAGCATAGGCTGTCAAACCTAGTATCTCAGATATTTATCACTTTTTATTTAAGATTTATTCTTTGAAGTTGAATCATAAGGTCTTTGTTCTCAGATGCCTCATTGTGTGCTAGGATTTCAGCTATTTGTCAGTGTTTTTAAACTTACGATTGAGACATTTGTATCTTCATTTATACTTATTTTTCCATTAACCATTTTTCCTCAGTTCGATTAAGAATGTTCAGTTCATTAAATATGAGAAACCTTCTAGATGGTTCTCACCATGATGAAAATACTAGATTAATATTATGTTTAAACAATGTAGGGTTTATAAAAAAATTAGTAATTGAGGAAAAAATTATTAATTACTTTATTTGTTTTCTTTAATGCTAGACAGGTACAAAAAAATCCTAACTATTTTACTTTGTTATTCTAATCTTAATATAGGTGATATATTGACCAAATACTCTTTCTTCTTTTTGTGAGCTGTAGTAAATTGTTAGGAATGTCTTTCTGTTCAGAAAAATAATGAGCAAAAATTCAGCATGGTTATGATCCTATGAATTTTCACGTGGAGGTATGAATATTAACAATGCTAAGAATGTGCTCAGCAAAAATAGATGTCTGATATACAGAAATTGAAAACCACATGCATGCATCACACTGTTACTGTGTGCAGTATGGTTGCTTATTCAGCCCAACTTATCAGCATTTTAAATTTGTCATCCTTAGTACTTATGTTTTGCTTATCTTTTCACTTGATATCCCAATGTAAACTTCTATTTGCTGAAACAATCATTATTTAAAGAAAATAACTGCGTCACTAAAATAATAGTAACTTTTTTATTCATGCGTGAAAAAGTAAGCTCTGCAGTATTGGCCTAAGAATGAAAAAGCATGTAATCTGTGGATTGTAATAGAAAATACACTGAAATCCAATGAAGTTTTCTAGCAAATGTTTGGTGTGTGTATTTAGTTAATGTTAGTGGACAAGACTACATGTCACTTAATTGTCTGCTTATAGTAATCAGCAGTCTCACTGGAAGTGTTTGGAGATCAATAGGGGACCAAACACACATGAAACCGTCCAGTTCTTGGATGCCATCATTGCTGAAGTGACTTAAGGCCAAACTGCTTGTGGAACATCTACCAGTAGTAGCCAAGCTGATATATTTTGCCTTCACTAATTAAAATACCACTTCTTGTCTTGAAATAAAGAGAATGGCAGTTGCAAGATCACACGGAGATTTAAAAAATATTTTCTGCTTAATTAACAGTTCAAGATAATTTATTTCAAATAATTGTAGCGAATAAACAAGTATTATCATTAGCAGATAGCATTTTCCATTATACCTCCATTTTAAAAAAACCTAGAAGGTATTTGCTCTGTGTCCAACAGTATGACGGCAACAAGTAAGCACATTAGAAAACTGTCATTCAACCTAGTACATTAAGTAATGAAATCAGAAAGCAAGCAAAAGAGATTTTGTGTGTCAACCTCTGACAATTTGAAATCAATGAGAACTTGATCATGTTGAACTATACTCAAGGATAATTTTCTGGCTGATTTTTCCCCAGCCATACTGCTTTACTGATACTTTCTTTTACTTCTCAGCTGAAAAAAGAGATAAGCAATACAGGGTATATTGGTATAATTGACAAAAAAAATGTGTGTTGAGTGGGATAAATATGAGAAACAAATTATCATGTTTATAGCTTGCATTGTCCAAAACCAAACATATTTTACTGGCAGCCTTGCAAAGCTAGATTCCTTCACGTTTCTGAGTGGAGCCTGCCTCATGTGAGGTATAAAATTATTTTAAAGGAAAAGTAGGTCAGTAGTACTGTTTAGAAAACAGATGTCATTTACCAGCTTTTGTGGTACAAAGGGCACCAACACTTTGAGAAATTTGGATAAAACAAATGGAGATTATAAAATTCTATAGAGTTAAAATAGGTAGTAATAAATGTAAGGAACCATGTGCTGATTCATATGTTAAATTACGTTTTTGATGGCTATGCTATGCAGCTAGGTGTTTGCTCATTATTAGGGGCATCTTTTGTCACTGGCATACCTTTGAGTGCTTTATATCTTAGCAGTCCTTAATAATGCGTGAAATAAAAAAAAATACCACCTTTCCATCTCTTAATAATAAAGTGTCACATAAGACGAGATGTGCATAGTGTTATTTATGGTTATCTAACCTTTACATAAAATGTTTTAAAAATATATATCCAATTTGCATATTTTCCTGACAGGAAATAAAAATTAATAGCACTTCAAGAACAAAAATAGATTATTTTTTTAAAGATTTCTAGAGCAACTATTTTTTCAATCCTGGTGCTTTTCTGCTACTCGAGGAAGTCGTACACTGTGACCTCAGCTTAGCGCTGTAGCACTTTCAAAGGAACTTGCTTAGAAAGTGAGAACAACAGAAGGATCTGAGGATATGAATTCCCCTGATAAGGGGAAAGATATTTTAAAATTAAATATATTTAACTAGAAGTAGTCCTTCTCCTTCTGATTGTTTATAATTAGGGTTTACTTGATATTCTCACTTTGATGTTCAACTAAAGAGCAACACACATTTCAAATAGTGCTTGTTGACTAGAATGTTAAAGTTTGATGAGGCACCTATTTAATGGGCAAGGTAATATCAAAAAGTTTAGGGAGGATTCGAATTCATTCCTTAAATATGTTCCTTTTGGTGCAAGCCTTGTATGAAAGCAGACCTGTTGCTGTTTGTAGAAGTGGCTGCCTTGCTCAGTGGTATCTGCCAGTGTTGATGAAATGGTGAATACATTGTCTTTGGTTTAGGCTAAAAAAGGGAATGTAAGATTGAACTTCAGTCTCTTGATCAAGAGAATTAATTATGAAAATGAGAATACAATAAGCCCATTAAAGGGAACCTTTGCTCTCTGTGGAAACAAGTGCACTATATGCTCTCTTTCTTTGTTGAATTGAAAAATGTTCCCATCTGTTTTGCTGATGTGAGGACAGCTGTAAAGTTCCCCAAAGGGAGAGGGCAGTTACAGAGAACTGAAGTCACGGATCTGCAGGTTTGGTACCCAGCCTCACCTGTAGTTCTGCAAACTTCTCCCAGTCAGCCATTGGAAAATAGATTTTGATGATACAGCTTGTACAATTGTAAGGTCACAGGCCTGCTTGAAAATTATGGTAGTGGTATAGAATGCAAGTCTACTTTATAAAGAACAGCTTTGTAAATCTTGATTTTTATTTTTAATTTTTTCATGTGTCATTTGCTTGGAGTTACTAGTTGGCATGCATGTTTCTGTCAATAGGGGTAATGGAGTTAATTTTCTTCTTGCTTCGTCAGCTGGCAAGAGGACACTGAGGTTTGTTAACACTTGAGAAGCACTGCGTAGTATTCTATTGTTAAATGAAAGCTTCCAGAAACAAAAAAAAAAAGGAAAGAAAAAACTTATCTCTGGCTTTTACCCAGTATTTCATAAACAGCCAGCCAAGTCAAAATTAATCAGTCATAGTGTGAAAATAGTCAAATAACGTATGTTACTGTTCCTGTTCAGTGATAACACCAGTTTTGCTAGATGGGTAGCCCATTCAAAGCTTTGATCAGGTACTTCTGCAGTAACTTTAGCTGGTGCTTCATTGATCTAGAAAAGGATTTGTTCTTCTGATCTCTTGTGATGAAATTCTGGGATAAAAATATAAATACATCAGAAAACTACTTATTTTGGTACAGAAACTTTTGCTAATCTTTTAAATGTTCTACTACCACACCGTGAGTAAATGCATATCCCTTATATTACATATTTCACCTAGTGAGGTAGTTAATTTTCTCAGTATCGGTTATTAAAGAAATGCAAAAGTAATTTTTGTTTGCAATTTTATAGCAAAACCATGTTCTGACAGGAAAAATTGCACTTGTAAATATCCTGGTTTTCTCATAGAAATTTTAAAAATACCTATGGATTCAGTTCAGGTTTGTGTTATTTATATGCTTTATTGTCTCTAGCATACTTCTGTGGACAAAACACAGAGTATATTTTAGGAAATGACAACATTCTTAGCTATGTATTTAAATAGGGTGATCATTGCTCATTGTTTTTACTATGCTGGAACTAGGTACTTGCTACTTGTATACTTTCTAAATTGTGTTGACCATTTATCTTGAAAACTGCCTTTTTCCAGTGACTACTGGTATCTCGAAGCCATTTATGCAAAGTACATATAGTTACCACAGAAACAATCAAAGACAATTGAAAAATTTTCTGATTACCTTGTGACTCAAAATGAATGGATGGCTATTAACTAGGGCATCTATCTGTATTTTCCAGTAAAACCGTTCTGCTCTATCTAAGTAGTTAAAAGTTTATTGGAACAGGGAATTTATTCTCATTCTTTTTAATTAAAAAATAAGTCTTTCCGGCACAGTGGGTATTCTTTTTCTGAATATCATGCTTTTATTTTTCTTCCTTTTCTCTCAGATGTATTTTGATTAAAATGTTAAAAATGTTACAGTTACATGCAAAAATTAAATTTTTAAACCTCAACATTTTTTTTTTCTATATGGTATAAGAAAGCAAAAGAGGGACAATTGTAATATTTGGAAAAAATTGGGTAAAACTTTCCTTTTTACTTAGGGTTTCACTGCATTTATTACTGCATATCTTTTTTACATTTTTCTTTTAACACATAAATTAATATTAGAAGCTCTGGCCACATTTGAAAAATTATTTTTTCATATACTTTTTCCTTGTTATTTATGAGACACATGCTAATACCATCTGTTAA